TCGCTGTATCTTTTTTCTATATATTAATTACTATAAGATCTTGATCTTTAATTCTTTTAATATACATTCAAGTACAACTAAATATTCATGCAAATATCTGGCTTTCTCCATCTTCGTATTCATAATTTGATAAGCTTTTAGACTCTGTAAATTTAATTGCTCTTGTGCAATAAAACTTCGAACATTGTAATCTCAAAAATTTCGTTTATTTCTGAATTCTCTTTTTGCTGTGAAAAAGAGACTTGCGAAGCTTGAAAAAATCTCTCTCTCTCTCTCTTAAAAAGATAGAGTGAGTAAACGAATTTTAAGTCAAAATAATGTTGCAACGGTGCAATCGGATATATTAATATCATGATAAGCAAGATCAGCAAGATTATTAATTTTTATCCTAACATATGTTGTGAATATTTGAATGGGATGCGCACGCTTCGAAATATCTGCACATTTTACACTGATATAACGATATTATTTATGTATAATCATTACGACATCAAGTCGATACACATATGCGCAAAATATTTTCATCGACATTTTCTCTTTTAGCGCAGTAATAATTCTTCGTATCATCAGTAACGTTTATCGCTATTGTTGTTCGCGTTATTATTGAAAAATATATTTTCGCCGAATATATTTATATCATATAGTATAACATTTGATCATCGTGGTAGTATTACTTCCGGGAAGGAACCGGAGCGACATCACGTAGTGTGCGACATTACGGGGCGAGGAAGGTAACGGGAAACAGGACGTGGTGCGTGTGAAGGCGTCGTGGACTAGAACTGTCCGAAAATGACGACGGTGGCGATTTCCCCAGCTATGGCTCATAATAACAGTGGAATAATACAAGTGGTGAACGAAAGTAACCTAAGCAAGATCGAGAGGTACGTATTTTTCTGTATTATTCTATCGCGAGTGCAGTTTGTCGGGGAGCGGCCGAAAGATAACTATCGATCCGCTTTGCAGCTTCCTCAATGACACGGCTTACAGAGAAGCCATTGAGAATTCTTCCAATTATAATAGCCGATTATGCCGGGAACGACGTCTTCGCATGCCCTTCCTCGATTCACAAACGGGTAAAATTCACAATCAATTGTTAAATTTTAATCGGTTGTAAAATTAATTGATTAACAGATTAATAGTATTTTGATTTTATTGATTTATCAGCTTGATTTATTGATAATTCGAACGTCCCACATAAATATTTATTTGAGAAAAATATAAAATGGTTAATAAAATGGTCTTATAATTAGTCTATAAAAGTTTGCTTAAAAAAAAAATGATTTTTTAAATTACCATATTTAGCAACTCTTATAATTGGACAAAGTGTATCAATTTTTAATTGAGTTAACTTTAAAATTGGCACAATACATAATAATATTTTATAAATAAAAATAAATA